GGGGGGGGGGGGGGGGGGGGGGGGGAGTCAGATCAGCATCAGAAAAGCAGCGGCAGAGTGGATTTTCTGTCGGTTCCTCCCAAGCCCGTCATCCATCAGTCTGACTAATGGACCCCGAAGGATTACAGAGAGACGGAGAGGTGTGGGCGGGGGGGTTGGGAGGGGGTAGGGGGGTGGTAGGGGATCAGCAGAAAGCTGCTCTCATCAACACGCAGACGAGCCCCCGTAAACGCACACTCACCCCTCAGTCATCAGACGGGGGGGGGGGGGGGGGGGGTGATGGATGCGGACTGAGAGCAGAGCGACTGAGTGTCTCCTCGCTCTACAGCACGTTGTGGGTTTTGCAATTTGCCTCCACTGAACGCTGACGGGCGTCTTCTTCAGGATCTGGTCTGTTTCTGGTCCTCTTTGGTTATGCCTTATTTGTCTTATTGCTCAGAAATCTGGGGAAATGCAAGTAAAACGACTATTGATATATTAGTTAAGTTGCAAAAAAAAAAGCTATAAGGGTTATAAATAAGGTGGGATACCGTGAACCAACTGATAAACTCTTTATTCAAATTAAAATATTAAAATTTAAAGATATTGTTTATACAAAAAGACTGGAAATAATGTATAAAGCGTTGAATAAAAGTCTTCCTTCTGGTATTCAGAAATCATGTAAGTTAAGAGAAAATAAATATAATTTGCGAGGTTTGTTTATATTTGAATGTGCAAAAGAAAAAAGTCAGATAAATTCTAGAAGTGTTTCAGTTATTGGTGTGAAACTGTGGAATGAATTGAATGATGAATTTAAGTTATGTCATTTCTTGGTGAACTTTAAAAGAGCTTTAAAATGTAAAATGATAAAATCTTACGTTCTTATGTAGATCTATATATGAACTATGTACTTGAATCTGAATTTGAAGAAATCCTGGTAGGTTGTAAGGTAAAAAAAATAGGGTAGGCAAGAATAAGCATTGCTTCGGCCTATTCCTTTTTTGGTAAATTGTGGGTTTGTCTATTGTTTTTTTTTCTTTTTTTCCTTTTGTTGTTTCTTGTGTTTAATGTGGACAATTTACCAAAATAAAGTGATTGATTGATTGATTGATTGATTGATTGATTGATTGATTGATTGATTGATTGATTGATTGATTGATTGATTGATTGATTGATTGTTTCCCAGAATGCCCTAACCCAGTGCTTCCCAAACTTTTTGCATCGCCTACCCCTTGGAACATTTGATCTCCATCCGCGTACCGCCCCCCCCCCATTTTATAATACCTGGTACACGCAGGCTCAACCAAACACTTTTGTATATACTCGCTTTCATTTATTTCCAGCGACCGTTCTCCACTTCCTGCCCCCCCATCTGAATTTCGCGCGTCATCAGAATCACTTGATTGCAAACAAACCTATCGGCAGTTTTTTTTTTTCTGTTGTAAATTAGGTTTATTACCTTACCTACATTCACTTTTATTTGATGTTTTTTCTTTCCCCCTACTAAAACTTTATTCGTAGTAAAGTGTTGGGATTGATTGGTAGGGGTTTTTGTAATGCGTTGCACTATGGTACGGCATTTGATTTTATTTATTTTTTCTTGCATTTATTATTTTTTCTTTTCCAAAATCTTTTCCCGTACCCCCTGTCATGACGAACCATAGTTTGGGAATAACTGCCCTAACCGATCAAAAGTATTCCAGAATAAGCAAACCACACTTTTAATTCTGCTAAACTGGATGTCTGTGCCCGCTTTAAGAAGCAGTTGGTCCATCTGTGGTCACTTTAACTGATGGATTTGACACCGTTCTTGCATCTTTGACCGTTTTTTTTCTGGCCCCTCCAGAGTTCGATGACCTGGATCCGGACCTGGCCCGGTTGGCGTCCCTGGGCTTTTCCGGCTGTCTGTCCGTGGTCCAGTTCAACGGCGTCAGCCCGCTGAAGGCGGCGCTGCTCCACCGGGACTCCGGCCCCGTGGTGGTCTCCGGACCCCTGACCCGGTCCAGCTGCGGCTCGCCGGACGCCTCCGGCCCCGACGCCAGCGAGAACACGCACCACCTGACAGGTAGGAGAGACCAGACCACTGACCGTCAGAGGTGGGAGCATCTAAAAATTTAAAAAACCAGCATGTTTTTTTTTCCCCAGAGATCTGTATTGAGTTGTGTTAATGTCAAATGAGAATCGGAACTCAAAAAGAGTGACTTTTTAAAGAAAATGTATGTCTGTAATCAGTTTGTCAGGATGAAAACAATCAAGCACAAACACACAGCTATGCAGGAGGCAGCTAAAATGGAGTTTTGACTAACTGGGACAGGTTCGGCCTCTCTGGAGGGGCCCGGGGCCTGGGGCCCTCTTCCGCTTGGATTTTGCTTCCTCTTTTTTCTTCTAATTGAACCACAGAGGAGCTGTTAGAAATTAATCCACCAAACTGAGATGTGGAATCCTTGATTTTGTTATTACTTGGACAGAAAGTGTCTAACCCTCTGTTTTAAAATGTATCCCGGAGACTCTGCTTCTCCTCTTCCTAACTTTTGGATCAATGGCCGATATCCCACTCAGAAAGCTCAGGAACGAGTGTCTTCCTGATTCTTTAAAAGCAAACCTGTAGGAGGTTTTCTTGGATTTTCTTCTTCTCTGATTATTTGACTCTCTATTCTGTCATTTGAGGCTTTAGAAATCTTTCTGATTAAACTGATGTTAAGAATTTCTTCCTCTCACATTCCAGTATTCTTATCACCTTCTGTTTTTATGCCTATAAATGACTTCTTATTCTTTTTGTTCTTTTTGGGGGGCCTGTTTCACTGTTATTTCTATCTGTCGGGTGTATTTTGCCTTCATCTTTCCCTCCACCTCTCTTCTCTTCCTCTGCTGTAGACCAGTCTGGTTCTGTGGGTTCAGGTCAACCTTTAGTCAATGCCATCAGGACCGACTCGGCTCTGATCGGAGGTACTCGCCTGTTTTACCCTCACCTTTTCAGTACTGTTCACCATTATATTTCTCTAATCTAACATTTAAACCATTTGTTTAAAAAGAAAGTTACCCGGGATAAGTTTGAAACCAGTAGAGCAAAGTTAGGGCTGATGGGACGGGAGGAAGAGGTGAGTGATGTGCAAGGCGGGAGTCCATTTAAACCTCATTTAAACTTTGTTGCTCTGCCAGCACGGATTGATTCAAAGGGCAGACCGAAAAGGTTTGATCTATAACTGTGCAGATAGAATAGGTGAAACCCAGAGAAAAGTCATTTAAAACTATCCATTAAACGTTTAGGTACACAAAGGGCGGCTTACCCAATTAATTCTACGCGGGGATTATTTGTTAATGGGAAAACTTTCCTGCCATCATAAAAACTGCTGCGCCTTCATCTTCTAACGTGGTTTTAAATTGATTTCAGATGGACCTGGGAAGTCCACTTTAATGTGATATGTGTTAGTATTCCCAAGTCGGCTCGGCCGAGCAGATGAAGAGATTGATAAAAAGATTGAAAAACGTAGCAAGTTTTCCGAAGTTAGATTAGCGAGATGATCCCCAATTTGAGTTCACTTTGCCGTAGGAACGGAACGGTTAGCTGTGACCTGACCTCCGTTTGGGAGTCTAACGCTCTCTCCCTCTGCGCGACAGGAGTCATAGCCGTGGTCATCTTCCTGACCGTGAGCGGCCTGGCCGTCGCCGGCAGGTTCCTCTACCGGAGAAAGGACACCTACCGGAACCAGGACGGGAAGGGGGTCAAGCGGGAGGACAGTCCCGATTTCCCCTTCGGCAGCCAGGCCGGTTCCCAGAACCTCTCCTCCGAAAACCCCAAGGAGTACTTCATCTAGCGGGACTGTCGTTGTAGTAGAGCCGCCGTGGTGGACGGGGGGGTCCCGACCCCCCCCCCCAGGACTCTGCAGTGCACTTTTCAGACACTTTTTCTGGCAGAAGTGGCTCCATAGCAACCGGGAAGCGAAGAGGAGCCTTTAGACTCTCTCTCTCCTGCTACTTGTGAATATAGCGAGCCAAACGGGCCCCGCTAGGGTCCCCTGGAGGACGCCGCCCTCCTCTCAGCAACTGTGAATATTTCGAAATTGTAAATGTGGGATTCTTGTCTTTGGCTAATGTGACTTTGTCATTTGGAAGTGATGGAGGTGTCGGTGTTCCTTTTTGTGCATAGAGCGAGCAAACTGAGCCTCTGCCCCCCTGTGTTCCCATTTTCCTCCGTTTTTTCATTGACCACCCTCCCATCTTTAGCTAAACTTTGTCTCTGTTTTTTGACTCACTCATCTTGGAGTTGCCAGCCTTTTGCAGAAATCATCAAAAAGCGTGAAATCTTGAGCTTTAATCAAGCTTTAAATGCAGCTTGAGAGATGGATATGTCTCTCAAGGGGGGAAATGTTGCCTTTTTGTTTCACCTCAGTCCCAGAAATGCTCCTCCAAATGAATGAATGAAAATGCTACATCCCAGCTTTTCAATGAGGAAATGTGATTTCCAGTTTTGACTCCTTTCCTGGTTCAGTAGTTCAAAATGGAAGCTGTATTTTGATCTGCTTCTTACAAGTCCACAGATGTTATGGTCCTGATAATTAAAACCGCTGTACAGGCTGTAAATACGTCAAGGCAATAATCCAGACCATAAACACGGCTCAAAAATGGATTTATGACGATGTAATCTTTAGGATTATTTCTTTTAAAGTAAAGCATGGTAACCTCAAGGTGTAGCCTGACAATGTGAATGAACACAACCAGCAGGAAGCACGTTTTTCCTCTCTGAGATTCAGCTTTGCCTCCAAAGGGGGGCATCACCAACATGAAACCATGAGAAGAGTGGTTTCATCCCAGAGTTTGACAGCAGAAACGGTGTATTCCTGGAATCTAGGAATGCAGATTAGTCTCGTTTACTTGAATTTTCTTGTGTATCGATATTTGCGGTTATGATTCGGATGTTCGAGTTGCTGAGTCATGCTGGGAGTCCGTCAGCATCCACCCAGTGTGCACTCACATGCCGGATGAGGTCAAAGGTTACGGATCAAAATTATTCCGTAATGTAGCAGCAAAGGTTTCCAAACAAACGGGGGCTCCATCTTCTTTAACATAAAGCAAACAGACCAACCTTTCACCTCATAACTCCGGCTTTATCGAGGATTCGAGGTCGAATTAGGGTAGTAGTGGCCTTAGTTAGGCTTTCGTATTCTTCTAAAGCAGAAAGGACTCAACTCTAGCAGGAGGCACAGCCAACATTTTCATTTATATTAACTCACACTCGCAGTTTCTGTACCTCCTCTTAAAGACTTTAGTCCTCCCTGCAGCCGGCGGGGAGCTTCCTCCCCCCACGATCTCTTAATGTCTTTGAACTGTTGAGGCTTTTAACGCCGTCGGTGGCAAACGCTCTGTAAGTCTGCCACCTCGTTCACTGCACACTGAGACAGTTAATGCGTTTCCCCACATGCTAATCGGCCCTGATCTGACGGGCGGATTGCGATACAGCGGCGAGCCGAGCGACGACGATGAGAACGAGAGCGAGAGGTAATCTGAGGGAGTTTGTCACGGGCGACGCGGTTCGTGAGATTGCCTGACGAAATAAGCTCCTAAAAAACATTAAGGGAAATCCTCTCCTAAGTGTTAACCCAGCTCATGTGTAAAGAATGCTGCTGACAGAGGCAGGAGGAGCCGCGGAGACCATCGACAGCAGCTGTTTCTTCTCCGTTTCTCTGTGAAAACCCCGAGCGCAGATGGGATTTTAATGGCAAAAGTTGCTAAATCTTCAAAGAGCATCTTTAGACTTAATCTCCTGGCGTAAAAAAAATGGAAACGTACCCGTCCCTGTTCTGCTGGGCAGGCTTCTCTAGGGTTAAACACATCCCAGCCAGCCTTTAGGAGAATCTGAACCTCTCCTTTTCCTGCTTTACAAGTAAATCAAGCCTCACTTTGAGGATTCTTGCACATTTTTGTTATATTTTGTCACGATGCCCTGTAACATTACTTCATTCTAGAACATTAACAGCTTTTAGTTGGCAATTAAATAGCTTTTCTATTTGTTTGCAAAACATTTACTGAACTGCATTTAAAGTAGTTTGAGAATTCCATGCAGACTTCGACAGGAGAAGAGAAAATAAGCTACCATTTTTTTATTTTTTTTTCCACCATAGAAATTGGATGGGGATTGGAAACTGTCACCAGCCATTGGGCACAAAACAGGGTAAAATGCTCAATGAGCCATGAAGCAACTCAGAGAGCACTCGAAACCGTTAACTTTTACTGGCAGGGTCAATTCGAATCACCAGTTAACATAACACGTTTTAAAGCATGCATGCATAAACACATGCCTGCATTTCTACTGCGGGAACCCAGAGATAAACCCACACGTACAGAGGTATGCAAAGTCCACAGAGAGAGGCCCCAGCAGGGATAAACCCACCACACCACAGCCAACCCTGTGCATTTATTAAGGATAATAAACCACAGCAAAGGCCGGAAGACCTGAGACATAAATGCAAAATGCAGAGCAGGACGGGAGAAAAAACCAACACTGAAAAAAAGCCCCGACAAGATGTCAAATGAGGCCGAGGATCTGTTGGGATGCAGAGAAAATGTGATTCCTCCCACAAAATGAGGCTGTCCCACAGTCCTCCGCTGGGTTTTGGGTTTATTTCTTTCTTGTGAGAACAGACTGGACTCGTAAAGCGAAGGCCGAACAAAGTGTACCTGTGAAAAATCAACATGCTGATGTGTTTTTGGTCTTTTTTTTCTTTTTTTTAATGCTGTGTCCATGGAAATTGCATCTTGTGAGGCTGTTGGTGATGGATTCAGTTTGAATGAAAGGTGTTGATCTTAGCCTGTAAGCCCTCACGATGGCTTGTGTTAAATCTGAGTTGTGATGCTTTAACTTGATTTAGAAACCTCAAAATCAAACGTAGTGTTAATCTCTTTTGGTGCAAAATTGTAAAGGGAGCTTTCTTTTTCATTAAAAAATAAGGAGATAAAAATGAAGGATTTCATCAGTCAACAGAAGCAGCTTCCCAAGACCTAAAGCGTGACATTTAAGGCTGCTTCGAAGTGTCTGCTGTCATTTTTTATTTAGAATTTCAAGATGTCCTTGTCTGTGATTTGGTCATTTTATAAAACAATTTCTACTTTGGCTAAATGGTGAGTGTAACAAGAAAAACGTATGGGCACGTAGTATCGGTGATGATGAACAGTGATGTCAGTCTATTTAAGTGACATGCCATGATTTAAATAAAGTTTCAGAGATTGTATTGTATCCTGGTCGTTTGCGTACAGACAAAATCCTGTTTAAAGAAAATTAAACCTTTTGTTTTCATGAGAATGACGTGGGTTTGTTGTTTGTTTTTTTCTTTTTCTGTTAGAAATATATACCCCTCCTACAGTTACAAGATCCTAGTTAAACGTGATTTTGGTGCAGAGAAAAAAAAGAAAACACATCCAGATTCTGCCCCTTTAAATCAAATTTATTGACTGTTATTATGGACACTGAGCCGTTTCTAAATTAGATCCGACATCTGTAAATTGTCATTCATCAAGATTTGGAAAACATTTTTGCCATGTCATTATTACAGTTAAATTAATGTCACATTCAGTCACAATTTGTTCAAGAAATAATGGTATTTCTGGTCGTTTCGCTCCAACTTTGCCTTCTTATGGACTTACTTTTCACCTCTGTTGCTGTAATAATTATTCAAGACTGCGACAGATTATTAAATCAGATTATTCTGATGGACTGTGAGCATCCCAAAAGCTCCTGAACCAGTCTCGATGTCACGTTTTGGGGAACATAAAAGCACACTGAATAAGCTATTACCTTTGAGACCATGTACAACATGCTAAGAAATGTTAGATTGGTGAAGAACAAGGGGCAAACGGCATCAACAGTCGAAGCATCAACCACCAATTTAGTGAGAGGACCTGAAATCTGCTTCTGAAAACAAGATATAAGTCTCAGAAACAAGTCCACCAGATATTTAAAATGCTCTATGAGACTCATGAGGATAAGACCTGAAGTCGACCCAGTGGCTGATGATGGCGTCCAGGAAGGCGAGGTCAGACAGCCCATTTGCTCCCAATAATAAACCAGCAGAACCAGCCCAGACTGACTCCACCTGATCCCAGTGAGGACTCGGCCTGCGCATTTCAGCTTCTGTTAAAAGAAATAGAAAGTGAAGGTGGGGGTGAAAGCATTAGCATACTGAGGCAGGTCAGGGCAGAGTGTCCAGCAGGTGGCCAGAGAGGTGGGCAGCCCATCTTTCTACACCAGCTTCCCCTGAATGAGCTAAAAGTCTGTGTGATGCCTTCTGCGGGTCGAACAGCAGATCAGAGCCTCACTGTCCATCCATCTGCTCTAATTCCCTCCAACACAGATGATCGTTTGCAGCTCCCACCATCTTGTGAATTTTTATTTCTAAAACTACGGGTCTCTGCCGATCTAACGGATAAAAGTCCAATCAAGTTGCTGCTCCAGTCTAAACACGTGACCACCTTCACATATAAATGCCCATTCATTGAGCACAGATGACCCGTAAACAATCGGAGCGCCACTCTAACGCCGGTCAGTTCAACATTCTGCGCATGCGCGCTGACTACGCGTACGCTAACCTGATAGAACGCCGGGTTAACTGAGGAGGGATCACGTGGTACAAGATTCGGGGCAGTCCACGGCCCCTCCCCCTCCTCCCGTTCCACATTTGGAATGGGGGGAGGGATGAGTCAAATGCGTCACATTGACGTCACATAGGTAGTACGTCAATGTGACGCACATGGCCGCTGGAGGTATATAAGCTCAGGGTTCTGAAAAACTGCATTTCAGAATCGTTACTGAACCGAGCGCACG